ACTTTGTGTAACGAAGATGAACTGAGATTTTTTAGATTGGAACTTTACGCATTTTGTGCACGAAAGGCTAAAACTCAAAATGGTAGGACTGATTCTTACTGCTGCAGTAGTTTGCCGTCTATTGTCTTCCGTCTGGATATGCTTTCTTGATTTATACCAGTGTTAATTTAAAATTTCACGATGTCAAGATATAATAAATTTTTCGTAATTCACATTATTTGAAGTGTCATCTGTGGGGGTAAGTTACTCTTAATTCCATATTTTTTTTTCAGATCACACATTTCATCCTGTACATTATTCAGTATTTCTGGGTTATTGCGGACACCACCCATTTATCATCACATTTGGCACCCATATCATTATTACACTTTCTTCGTTATCGGTACCGGTATTTCCTGGATTTAGAACAATACTTTCCTGGATTTAGAACAATACTACAGATTTCATCATCCGTTAGTTGATTTAATATTAGGGCACTGTCATCGCAATGAAAACTTCCGTTATCTCATCTTCACTTATTACCTATTTTCCACAAACTTCGTTAATTGCAAAATTTCGCTTTTTGCGATTCCAAAAACCCTCCGGACTTCGTCTAATAATCATTAGCTAGCGTCCACTGTATACGTTTGGTGATATATCATGAGGATGATGACTAAAGACATGTTGTTCCGTTAGTTTTTGTCTTCCTTCCTTTGCATGCTGACGAATTTAAGTCCGAGTTATATTGTGCCTAAATTAAGAATATTTATTGTGATTACTCCTATTTCCTGCAACTTCTGTTCATCTGAGTCAGGATAAACAAATTCCCACATATACTTAAGGCTTATTCAAGGTCGGCGATAGACATTTCGAGGGCCAGTGCAGTCTCCGCGCGTCCTAAATTCTGTTGCCAAACACCTGGCTAAATTCTAAAAATTTTACATCACAGTGCCTACCCTAAATTCTAAAGATTTTGCCATCGCTTAATTTTTAAGCTCGATGTTCCCGTAAATTAAAAAAATTTTGTCCCCCACCGGCTAACTTCTGCTACAGGTCTCTCTTCTATGGAGTTTCCTGTATTATAAACATTTTCCTCATATAATAGGCTTCAATTAAACATTATTAATGTATTTTTGAAGAAGAGCAAAGACAGTGTAGAAGAAAATTCAAGCAAATTTATTGCTATAAATGGATTTCATGATAGATGCAACTACAAGAGCACAACTGGATAAGTTTGGCTGCAAAAGACAAAAGTTTCTCTTCGCTTATAAGCACGACTACTGAAGTGAATGTTATATTTAAACAACACGATACAGTTTGATTAGTTTTTCACAAATATTTGCTTTGGTTGAGGTAAAGGAAGTATTTCTAGACTTGCCAATAACTACCTAATTTATATCAGCATGAGAGGACTCTTTTTAATTTTAATAAAAATTATTAGTATTCTTATGACGGTGTTTCAAAACAATTTCTTTTTAAACGCCCAGTGCAATAATCAATATCGTCAGGCTTGGTAGTAATATGATAATTTTTTTTTATTATTTTCACTTTTCAAATGATGAGGAAGTTCACCTGCGTGGTTTGTCTGCTAACTCTGAGCATTCTAATCAATGATTATCTAAATGATTTGACATCTGGAACACAGATATTTTGCTTCAAGGAAAGAGAAAATATATTAAATTAAAAAAAATAGTTCAAGTTTGTAAAATACACTTCTCTTTGGTTTGCTTTCGTGTGAAATCTGATGTTTTATTGTTTAATTTTAATTAAATGGTGTAAAATTATATCTATTAGATGGTTTTTAATATATAGCTTCAATAAAGGAAATAAAGAGTTAAATATTTAATTTCAATAAAGACAAAACAACAAGCACAACGGAAAGCACTAATGTTTGAGTAGAATTTAAATTAGAACATCTAGAAACTGCAGATGAGGTCATAAAGAATACGAAGAAAGTATAAATACGTATCTTTACATAATAACACAAATAAAATCATCATTCTAAAAATTAATTTTTGCTAATGTTTCAAAAATCCATTTTTTTTTTTTTTTTTTTTTTTTTTTGGTGCTCATTTTTTTTTTCAAATTCATTCAAAAAAATAATTAGAAGTGCACTATAGACTTTAGGCATTTAAAAAGACTAATTATTTAAATTTAATATAGTTAGTACAATCGTACATGAAATAAGCGATAACTGTAGTTAATGTATAAAATATTTTAAATTTTTATATTTCTTATAAACATATTATACAAAGATATATTGTTCACGTTAATATTTAATTTTATTTAAAAATCTCAGAATGCTTTTGTAAAATAAAAATATTGTTGCATGCGTACGGGTTCGTTACGAAATGAATGCACAAGTCCGATGAAAAATGAACAAAAATTTATTATTATAACAACAAATATAATTTAATGTCCTCAAATAATCGTGCAGTATCACAATATATCACAGTAGTTATCTTTTAACTACTCAAACTTTCAAAAGAACTTAATTCAAAACAGCTAAAGAAAGCTAATCCGCGAATTCGCTACAGTCAACAAGAGCAGTTATCTAAAACAACGACAAACGAAGCAACTACCACGAACTGAGATGTTTTCCTCCTTTTATAAGATTTTAAAATCACGCGCTAGAACTTTCTGGTACTTTCTCGAAATCAAAAAGACATATTTATTTATTTAATGCACGCGCTCTTGTATTTTCAATTTTCCGGCTTAGCTTTCTTTTAATATTCGTCACGCGCTGCACTGCGCGAGAAATAAAACCATTTAATTTATAACTGAACTAACATTAGCTTTTTAAATACCAAATTCATAACACTATTAAAAATTTGTTACAATTTACTATTTAATTTAATTTTTACATTTAATTGATATCATATTTTTAATATGATGGTAGTTTAATGTAAAAATATAGTGTATTAAATGTTAGGTGTTGTACAATATTTACTCGCGTATTTTTTTCCTTAGCGTTTTAGCAAGTTCTGAAATTTTTATATATATTCACGTAATTTACCCTTGGCTCCAGGCATTCCGAAAATTAGCTTCCCAAAATTTTAAAATGTATTTTTCCACGTAATGATTGTTTTCTTCTTGGTAATGGATTTGTTCGTGGAGTTTGGGTGCATGTGCTTTGATTGATGGAGCAGTAATAGCGAAGAGCTTCAAGAAAACGAGGATATTCAATGCTCTTCTGAAGATCACTGCACGCAAGAATGCAGACTGAATGATAACGAAAACAATGACAATGGCGACGATGCCGAAGACTTATAAGCTGTAGCAAATGGTACAAAAGTGACACTAAATGATGTGAGGTCTAAGAGTAGCAATGGGTAACAATAAGTGTAGGGCGAAATTCAAGATACAGAGACATAAGAAACGAAAGATATTTTATTAGGTATTGTAATGTTAGTATTAGTATATATTCTTATTACAACGTGGGTTTCTTTTAAATAAATAGTATTGTCGTAGTTATATGTAGTTTATCCATGAACACCTTTTATTAGCTGTGTCCTCATTGCAACTTCGTTCTTCGAAAATTAAATTATTCGCATAATTTTTCACTCTCGATTTTCGTACGATAAATTTAGTGAAAAAGGGAGGAAAATACGCAAGTAAATAAGGTATTTTGATTCAGTTATTAAAAAGTTAATAATGATTTTATAAAAATGAAATATTAGAAAAATAATAACAAGATTTCTTTTTAGATACTTACTGTCTAGTAAGTAAATACGTATTTTCATTATGAAAGATGGGAAAAACCTTTTTTCAAATTTTAGTTAACTGAAAATTTTCGAACGAACGAACGAAATTTTGAGCTTTGAATATTCCTTTTCACAGCTATGAGGTCACAGCTAAATAGTCAACCAACTATTTAAACAAGTTAATTGTCACTTTTCCATTGAATTTGCATGTCTTTATACTCGGATTTGAAAATGGAATTGTTAAAAGACTTGCTAAGGCAGAGCGGTAAAGTCTCTGAACATTGGTAGTTCGGTCCGGGTTTCGAATCCAGGACCGAACTTCATGAGCTGGCATTGACTGGCTGCATGAGCGTTTTTGCGGATTTTTCCATATGTAACGTGTATACGAGATAGCTTCCCTTAGAAAGACCTTCACGAAGGCACCACTCCTTAGGCAAATAGCCCTCGAGAGCTTTGCCATATTTAAAATACACTATACGGCAAAGACTGTAAAAATCTCTAAATTCCTCCATTAGGAAATCTTGTACGAAAATACTAAACACCAGCGTCTTCTAATACGGTAAGGCAGTGCAAGAGGTCTTGTTACCTAACATATCTTATTGTTTAAATGGAATTTCATTTATTATTTATAAGGATTAAATATGTTAAATTGCTACATTTTTCTTCCTGGCTTTAGTGACCTGAAGTATAGCTATATCATATTTGCCGCAGGTAGTAGGACGCTTTTATGGCCACATGACGCAGTTTTAATTATTTATAACTTCCATACCAGGGTTCTGAACCGGTGGTACGCAAAAAAACAAAGTTTTTTTAATTATCAAATTCAAAAATTAAAACTCCAACATCCTAATTGAGTTTTTTCTCTACACTCGTAAATTTATGCGATCTGAGCTTTGTTCCAGAGGGGGTGGTGGTGGTAGTACTTTGTAGTGGTGATACTAAAGGTTTTCAATTTTTGTTTAGATGATACGCGTTAGTCAAAAGGTTGAGAACCGCTGCTCCATACGAATGTTTGAAAGATGATGTACTAGTCTATCATTACCTTTCAGATCGCTGCATGCTATATAATTACTAGCATTGAAGTCCTTAAGTAGCCGAGAAGGAACATTATCTTCGTATTTAGGAAGAGGAAAAAAAATGTATTACGCCCACAAAGCTTTAAATTTTCTTGATCTTTGCTCGCAAATACGCGCAACAGTTATCTGACGGACTGGCGGATAACCAATCAGATATTTCCCTCTTTTGCTCATCTTTCTTTAAATAGGGAAAAAGAGGGATTTTCTTTATTTGCTCGTCCAACGAAATTACTTTAGCGATCATTTTATAAACTCTGTTGATACTTGGTTGTATCAGACGTGAAACTGATCTCTTTCGTTTGTTTTCATGCAGCCTCTTTCACTTGCTTTCTAGAAGCAGAATTTCATAAATTTTATCTAACTAAATTTGTAAGAAGTTTTTCCTTTTTTTTTTGGAATTTTAAAGCAAAATGGCCGAAATTGATTATCGTTACTGTTTTGGTGCTGGTGACCAAAACAATAATGATGCTGTCGTCGAAAAAAGAATGCTGTCTGTTCCCCGTGTCGACACGATGGACGATTTGATCCGGGAACTCCGTTCGGCGTTCGAAACGGACTATGTAAATATAGAAAGGGTTCAAGATTTGATGGCAGCTTATAAATCCAATCCACGGGATTGGATCAAGTTCGCTAAGTTTGATCGGCATAGGTAAGTAAAATAATTAATACAAGGTTTAAAAAATCGTATTGATTTCTGTTGTCTATTAGTTTATTGTCGAGCAAATTTTCTCGAAAATATTATTTCTATATCAGACATTATACTAGTATTAAAGTTTTAGGAAAGGTGTGACTTAAGCAAATTCTTCATCCAAAACTGTTGCAAAAAGTTAGAATTGAAATTATTGTAAGTTAGGCAAAAGTTCATGGTCCTTTTTTTTTACCCCTTCACCGGAAACACCTACATTTATCTCTTGTTAAGATGGAAATCTTCAGAATCGTGCATAATTTTTATAAAGCATAAAAGCGGTGAAATAAAAGATTATATGAAGATTTAAATTTAGAAATAGGTATTATGTAAACCACTCTTATACAAAACTCAATCTTTTCTCGGTAACTGGAACCGAAATTTTAATTATTAATAATTTTTAATATGGAAGATTTAATAATATTTAGTTATATATTCTTCCATATTAAGAATTCTATATAATATTCAATTAATATCTTAGTAAAGGATAATAGTCAATAAAAGAATATGTCTGCGCTGTTCGCGACTATGTTGAATTATAAAAATTTCAGGAGTAATAATTATGCTACTGGAGGGAGTAAAGCATCAGTGTTACCATAATTAAATTCCTTTTAATGTTTTTTGCTTTTTTTATACACAATTTACGAATTTCAGAAACTAAAATCATCATCGTACCAGTAATCTACATTTGCTAATTAGATTTAAGGTTTTGGTGTTTCTTAAATCCAATAAACCTGATTATTCTTCGATTGAATTTACTCACCTTTATTTAATATTGTCAAAGTTAGGCTAGATTTCCTTTTTTATTCAGGCGGACTCTTTAGTAATTCGTTCGGAAAAAGTTTATTACGCAAAGAAAATTTTATTTATCACACAAAAGTATTACCAGTCAAAAATCTAGAAGTTAAACCTCCCATTAATTCCTAATATAATCAATTTAGTCTATTTTTCGAAGAATATTTTATTGTTTAATTTATTCCCAAGATTTTCAATCTATACCGAAGTATAAGAAAATTGGAAAGATACTTCCGCATTTCCATGTTTTATGTATGGTTATACAAAGTATTAAGTAGAAAAAGAGGGTCATGTAGATCATATGAGACAATGTCTCAAGTCAGTGTGTAGAGTCTGTCTCTCTTGTTCCACATAAACTAGAATAGACCCTATAATGGCGAATTCTCGCATAGGCGTGAATAAAAACTACTGACTCATACGAAGGGTAAAAATAACCCTTTATTAATGCAAACTAGTTAACAGAAAGGCACGGACTTCGTGCGTTACAAAGACACCGTCAACTTGTGGTGGGAACTAAAACGTTTAATATAATACAAGTCAAACCTGAAATAAATAGTGCAAGATCGCACTAAGTTACGCCTAAGAGGTGGAATCACGGGAATCTAACCGGCGTGAAACTAATCTGATAAGGCCAAGAGGCTTACTAGCGTGACCGCGAAATAACAACGAAACGTGCGCTTGGCTAGTGAAACACGCTCTGAATAAACTGAGATATTCACACGTTTAAATAAGCACTTCACTTAACATTAAATTTATATCTGGCGAGAGAATGTGAGGGGAAGTTGAGGAGTCTAGAAAAGGTATCAAACTTAAAATAAATTTGTTATACAAAATAAGGAAAACCCGACAAGTGAAGTAACAATAAAAGAACTAAAACAAAAAATCCTTGATGGTGTTTATTTCTTGCATTTTAAAGGTTACAGATGTTTTTAAAAATAATAGTTAAACTGCTAATACTGCTAGTTTTGAACTAGGAAATTCCTTGCGGAAACGTTTGACTGTACAAACATAATCGTAGCTTTCCTGTGTGCATATTAAATATAAGCAAGTTTACCTTAGAAAATTATGCATAAAATCAGATTAACTAACGCACATATCCTTTACCCTGATAATATAAACACGAAGCATTAAATTGAGTTTTCGTATTAAATAAAATAGCGAGAATAATCAAGAAAACCTAAATTTCTATGCCCTGTATCGATGGCAGTCTATCGATGAACTCTGCCGCAATGGTGGAAAGTATATATTGATGTAACCAATTCTTTAGTATATTACCAATTTTATTCTTTTATCAAATATTAAAATTTTTAAAGATTGACGATGAAATGACATTCTGTTCACATCGAAAGAAAGATAACTGGTGCATCTTAAAGTAAGCTTAACAGAATAAGCTAGGCCGAAGGATTTTCACGTGGCACATTTTAAATAAACTGTTTGAAATGCTGTCAAAAATACTTTAGTTTCTTATTTGACAACTATTCCAAAACGTTAAATATTCAAGGTAGGAAATGAAAATGAATTTAAAAAAATATAATTCTTAAAAAAAAGATATTTTCAGTGAATGCAAATGGAAATGATTTAACTACCCGCCATAAAATCGAATGCGCCAGCGATATCGAAACAGCTGCTCTTTCATACTGATATATTTGATGTGTGGTTTCTGAATAATATTACAGCTTACAGCTTTTCTACCCTTTCTTGAACTTTTCGCAACATGACAATAAACTGCTTCAAAAGCCTCTAAGATGCTGTAAAAGATTTTTCTTTTAAAGGATGTTAATAAAGCTTCCGAAGCAAGGTACTTCCTTTGAAAAACTGATCGAGGGAACTAGAATTTGATAGAGTCGTGAATTTTAATAAAACATTCGCATTCTAGAGGTACATTTCTACATATTAAAAAATCATAAAGTTATATTCTGAAAATATCTTTGTTGCCTACTAGATTTGCACTGTGTGTATACCGCTACTGGTACGCATGAGATATTAGGCAGTAACTTTTATCTTGGGTTGAGTTTCCAAATTTTAGGCTATTTTCTGCATTTTGTCGAACATAAAAATGTTTTGCGTGTGGAGGGACAAATCCGTGATTTTTAACTTTTCTCATTAAATTTTTAATTCCTGTTATGAATATTATATTATTTCTATATTCAAATAATTCTTATGCTGTTTCTCGTTGGTATTTCCTAAAACCTAAACTGAAAATTAATCCTATTCCAAATCCAAATTAAAAGACTGCATTAGCCTACGTTTTACTGGTCGTCTAGAATACCAGGATAAGTCGTTTCCCATAGTTATATAAAATTGCCAGTCGTTGCCTGTGAGTGGTTATCCACATGAGTAACGTGCATATTACTACCGATTCCCTATAGAAAATCAACCACGAAAACATTTCTCCCATTAGGCAGTTAGCCTTTATGTGCTTTCCCGTATTCAAACAATTAACCGACAAAGTTTCGATATTGAATGTTTATTTCAATGAAGAAAATCTGCGTGTAATGCATGAAAATACACTCCAAGTAAATGGCTTATCTTGATAATAACTAACGGTCTTCGTTTCCAAGAACGGATACATTTCCAGGAATTCATTAGTTTATAAATGGAACTTTCGGTTAAAAATGTATAATACAATTGTTAATTAGTTGCATTCTAATTATTTGTATTAGTGGTTCATTTCTGGTATCCATCTCGAAATGTTCAGGTAAAATATATGACGACAAAAACTGTTAGTGTAAATCTCAATGTTTACGTTCCTGTATTTAGAATGGCGCCGAAATGGATGAAGTAGTCTCGATTTTAAATATCCTTAATAAATCCAACCACTCTCGATCTATTCAAACCAAAATGCATATATTTAATAATAAAACCTTCACACGTAAACGTTTAGTGATAATTCAGCAATACAGATAAGCTTTAAAATAAGAATTACAACAATTGTAGGTCCAGCTACGTTTTCAGCTACGCTTTCAACAAATCTCAAAGGCGTGCTGCCAACGCAGGGCAACAAAAAGGTGGAAATTGATTCGATAGGCGTGGAAGTGAACACTGAGGTCACCTAAGTTTTGTAAATTTTCACTAGTTACACCCCATGACCGTTCCAAGACTTTGCCTTTCTTTTCGCGCACTATATAGTACTGCTCCATTAACACCGGTGATATGAGAAACTAGTTCAATCCATCCATCACCAAATTACAGCAACCAAAAGTGTCAGCATTCAGTTATTTTTAACCTTTGGGACACTAGTCAGCTCAAATGATAAGTGATACTAAATTGCAGAAATAATGGATGCTACATATAGAACAAATGTTATATTAACGCTAAAAATAGTGGGTCAAAAATGTTTCGAAATTATTAATTGCTATGTTGTGAAAGGGACTATTGCCCAATTGTGTTTTATAATATATATCACATACAAAAAAGTCAGTATCTTTATGAGGAATTGGTAAATTTCAAATTATATCTTGTTCTTATCAAAATTTTCTTTTAGCTTTAGCCTCTATTTTTACTTCGTGTGTACAGAAATAAAAAAAAACCCTATGTGTGAATATAAAACTAATTAAAAACTTGTCAGTATGGAGCCATAATTTTTACTATACATTTTTACTGACTTGCATTTTAACAGAAAAGAACTTTTTCACTCTAAAGTGAAATAATTCATTCAAGTCACTAAAATAGTTTATATCGGTGATGGAAATTAGTAGCCTGCAGCTAGGCTGGAAAAATTCATTATTATTAACCGCGGATTTTCAAACAGTTGTATATTGTTATACTACTTTTATTAATCTGAAACCTAGATTAGAAGTAAACACTAATTAGAGCAGCATTTGGACACAAATTCGAAGCTGTCACTGAAAATTGAGTGAAATTCTTTGCGTGATTGCCCATACTGTTTTTAATAATTTGCACTGCATTTTAAGCCTTAAACATTTCTTCCTGAAAAGGGTATTTTTAAAACAGTATGTTGAATTTATTTGTGTAATCTTATTTCTGGTCATGATGTTGCTGTAGTTAAGAAACTGTATAAAATTTAGTTGAAATTACTACCACAATAATCTGGAAATATAATTCGTGTTTATTATTTTAGGTCGTATTTATAAGTATTCATTAACACATCAGTGTAGTACGCTCCAAGACTCTTAACTGACCGTCGAGAATGTAGAAGCTGGTCGCAC